TGAGAGCAGGGCCAGGAATATTCCCTGAGTGTTGCCGGGTGTGGCCAAAAACCAAAATCAAAACAAACAGAAGTCATTATTTATTGTCTAAGAGTTGCAGCAAGAATTAGAAATAACAGACAAGGGCCAGAGTGATAATACAGGGGTTAAGGCACTTGCCTTGCAGGCAGACAATTGCAGTTTGATCCCTGGCATTCAGTTCCCCGAGCATTGCCCAGGAGTGATCCCTGAGCACAAAGCCAGGAATAAGCCCTGAGCTTAGCAAGATGTAGCCCCCAAGTCAAGTGTGCGTGCACACACGCGTGTGCGCGCGCACACACACACACCTCCTAAATCAACAAAAGAACAAACAATAGTCTTAAATTATTATCATTATTTTGATTTTGGGGGCATACCCATCTGTGCTCAGGGCTTACTCCTGGCAGTGCTGGGGATCAGACCCAAGGCAAATATCTTACCCTCTGTACTATCTTTCAGCTTCAGCTCTTAAATAAACAAAGCATTTCGTTATCTACTTGCTTTGCTGTGTCAGGGATCTAATCCAGGACCTCGCACACGTGAGGCTCTACCACTGAGTCACATCCCAGCAGAAACTTTTTCAAACTCCTGATAATTGGGAGAAGTCACTTCTCTTTCTAGAGACTCCAGACAAAGGGTGAGTCCTGGTGGGTGGACGGGAACCAAGGACCTAATTGGCTCTTGGTTGCTCCCTGCTGGCATTCTTTGCATCACCATGACAATCTACAAAACAAACCTCAGTCACCTGCAGGTAATTATTGCTGTTACTGCTATCATCCTAGATAGAGAGTGGCCCAGAAAGATGAAAAGACGGACCCAGGCATGCAGAGATAAATATATATCTGTACCCTTGGGTACTCCATAATAGGTTGAGTCAGCTACATAATTTGCAGGTTCCAGCACAATTGAAAATGTGCAGTTTGGGGCCAGAAAGAGAGAAAGGTGCTTCGCTTATGCACAGCTGACGCAGGTTTGATCCTTGCCACCACCTATGTCTGACTTCCCAACTCTCTCCAGGAGTGATCTCTCAGCAGAGAGCCAGGAGGAAGCCCAGAGCTCCACGGGGTGTGATCCCAAACAAAAAGAAACAAAAATGTGGGACTTCTTTTTCTAGTTTTCCTTTTGTTTGTTTGTTTGCTTTTAATGAAAACATGGGGTTTGGATCAGAGAGAGTTCAACATGCTGAGTGCCCGCTTTGCAAGCCTGGAGGCCTGGGTTTGACCTCTGACACCACATGGTCCCCCAACCAACCAGTACCAGGAGTGGCCCCCTCCTCCCGTGAGAACATTTGGTTGGAGCCCCTGAGCATGCTGGGTAGAACCTAAAACAACAACAAGAAAATGCTGTGTGGCGTTCTGGGGGAAGGATGCAGGAAGAAGTTCACTTCCCCTCCACAGCTGATGACTAACCCTCCACCCCCTCTCAAAGGATCACAACGGCATTCTGCAGGTGGCCAGGAGGTGGGCAAGAGGCCCCAGGGAGCAGCTATGGCACTGTCAGCTAAAGGTTAGGAGGGCTCTGTTCCACCCCAGAGACAGAGACCCAGGTGGGACTAAGGGCAGAAGTGAGGTGGGGGACGGGGGCTGTATCCAACCCTCATAAACTAGCTGAGGCACCCACTGGGTAGAGGGCAGGATGGCTACAGTGAAACTAAGACATGCGCGCACGCGTGCACAAACACACACACACACACACACACACACACACACACACACACACACACAGAGCACTTCTTCCCCCAATCCTCTCAATAAGGCCTGCCTGCAGCCCTGCGCCACAGAGGTCAGTGTTTGGCTGGGAGTCGGCATTTACAAGCAGAGGCTCCAAGACCACTGGACTTGCTCCATTCTTCCATCCAACTTGACTTCAAACACAGATTCAGGGGGCTAGAGTGATAGCACAGCGGGTAAAGCGTTTGCCTTGCACGTGGCTGACCCGGGTTCGATTCCCAGCATCCCATATGGTCCCCTGAGCACCGCCAGGAGTAATTCCTGAGTGTAGAACCAGGAGGAACCCCTGTGCATCTTCGGGTGTGATCCAAAAAGCAATAAATAAATAAATAAATGTAGTTGACATGTAAGGGCTGGAGCGATAGCATAGCGGTAGGGCATTTGCCTTGCACACAGCCAGCCCGGCAGAGCCGGGTTTGATTCCTCCGCCCCTCTCGGAGAGCCCAACAAGCTACAGAGAGTATCTCGCCCGCGCGGCAAAGCCTGGCAAACTACCCGTGACGTATTCGATATGCCAAACACAGTAACAACAAGTCTCAAAGTGGAGATGTTACTGGGCCCGCTCGAGCAAATCGATGAACAATGGGAGGACAGTTTTGACATGTAAATATTAAAAAAAATATACACACGCACACATTCAGGGGCTGGAGAGAGCTTGGAGGTCCAGTGCATACCTGACATAATGAAGCCCAGGTTTCCATCACTAGCATCACTCACAGGCCTGCAAGGGCAGCGCAGGGCTCTGGAATCAAGTCCACCATGCACTATATGATCACAAGTTCAAAGCTCTGGTGTCCCACATAGACCAGACCCTGGCAGCTCTGATGTCTGTGAGCCCCAGTACCACAAGCGATTGCTAGCTCTGCCACACTCAGGTACCACTAGCACCCAAAAGGGGGTGCAACTCCTGGGGAGCACCACAATGAAAAGGATGTACAGATACCATGCCGGAAAGTGAGTATTGTGTGAGCACTGCAACCAAAGGAGTGAGCACTATAGCTCGATGGACAACATCTGAGGAGCACCCAGGCTGAAAATGGGCAAATGTCACTGCCAGGAATGGGGGAGACCCCTGCTCATCACATCAACAACAATGAAGGAAAGGGGGAGGAAACGAAAACCAAAAACAGAAGCAAGTGTGCCCACACACCTGGACCTGCAAATATTCGCATACACAGATTCAGATAAACCAAAAATGCCCAAGGTGCCACCATGGAGAATTAAACTCCAAGCATTTTAAGGGCAGGTCCAGTGCAGAACTTGTTTGCTGCCAAGAAATGTGCAAGTTACTTCCCTTCTTTTCACAAGTAAGCATGGATAGCTGGAATTCCAGCCCAGACTTGTTGATTCCAAAGCTCAGGTTCTTAACATTATAACTACCAACTCAAGGGGTCATTTACAGATCAGAGGGTTAGCTGGGAAAATAATTGCATTGCACGATCGAGAACTCAATTCTTCCACACCTCTGCAGGGAATCTTTCCTGACTTGGCCTTTCTAAGGAGAAGTGATTACTCCCTGTTTTGGGGGGCAAGGGGACGTGGACCACATCAGGGTGCTCAGAGCTTACTCCTGACACTGTGGTCAGGGATCACTCCTGATGGGGACCATATGTGGTGCCAGGAATTGAACCCAGGTCAGAGGCACTGTGCAAAGCAAGTACTGTCCCAGCTATACTAACCCTCTGGTTCAAAATGCCCCCTCAATTTAGTAGTTAGGAACCTGGGCTTTGGAATCAACAAACCTGGACCGGAATTCCACCTGTCCGTGATGAGTTGTGTAAAAGAGGCAAGTAACTTGCATTTGTTCTCCCATCTGAACTGGGGATATTGCTGTTCAGGGTGGGAGCTTGCTGGGCTCTACTGGAAGACTTTACCCATAACAGTCTTAACAGAAATGAGGCGTCAGGGGGCCTGGGCGATAGTATAGTGGGTAGGGCATTTGCGTTGCATGTGGCCAACCTCGATCACGTCGTATGGTTCCCCAAGCACTGCCAAGAGAAATTACTGTGTGCAAAACCAGGGCTAATCCCTGAGCATCACTGGGTGTGGCCCATAAACCAAAAAGGAAAAAAAAATGAGGTTTCATATCTCCTCCTAAAATGATTGCAAAACCAAGCACATTCATTTTTACTTAAGAGTTTATGTCTATTTGTAGTGCTTTTGGAAGGACGAAATCACAGAACTGAAAAGAGGAAGGATATTTGTCACTTATGTCTAGTGATTAGGGCAGTGCCTGACACCACAACAAAGCCAGCGGGTTCTATTATCTTAAATATTTGCTTCTAACACAATGCTTGGAGCCAAATGTAGAATTTATCACTTGGGTGGGGTGGGGTGGGGTGGCAGTGAGGCATATCATCCCTGGCATCACTCAGGGCTTTCTCCTGTTCTCCTGGCTCTGGGTTCAGGAATCTCTCCTGGCGGTGCTGTGGGTATTATAAGAAGCGCCAGAAATGAAGTTGGGAGCAAGCAAGGCAAGCCCCCTTAACTTACCCAATGCTCTCTCTGGCCCCCAAACGGGCGATTTGCAATCATCACTAAAAAAGTGAGTGGTTCAGAGAGAACTTGGGTAAAAGGATAAAGAGAACTCTCTTAAGGGCTTCGGCATTTTTGGGAAACACTCGAGCGGGCCCAGTAACACTAAAGTGTGGAAAAATAAAATCGACAAGACTATTCATAACCACAATTAAAACCTATTTGTAAGAACCCGTTAACATTTAGTTTGCATCGTTTTTGCTTACATTTCAAACACGTGATGTGGATTTAGAATTGATGCAGATAGATCGAATATATATATCTTACTGTAACTCAAAAGATACGTCTTAATAGGACATCGATCAGATCCATCTTTTTTGAAAAAATTGGTTTCATTCCAAAGCGCCCAGAGAACGCCAGGACCCCCCAACCTCGGCTCCCAACTCCGCGGCGCTCGCAGCACCATTGGACGACAGCTAACAACCCTGCGATCCAATTACCGGGGGGTCCGGAGAGAACGCTGTCTTGATTGGCTAGCGGGAACGTCTTTCCAAGAAGAGGCGGGGTTTTGGCGGCGCCTCCTGCTCCTATCAGAGAACGGCCAGAGGCGGGCTCCGCCGCAGGAGTGGGGTGGAGCCCGGTCCCGGAAGGTGAGTCTCCGCCCTTCGGCCCCACCCACTGCGGCGGAGGGGGCGTGCCCTAGGCCCCCGCGGTCGGCCGGCGGGCCGGGCGCGCGGGGCGGGTGGGCGGGGCCCGGGCGCCGGGGCGGGGCGAGCGTTGTCAGCGGCGGAGCCGGATGCAGGCGGCGCGGCGGCCGCGGGGATGGGCGGAGCCCCGGCCGCTGGTGCTGGTGGCTGGCGCCGCTGCCGGAGCCCGAGCCCGAGCGGCCGCCTGCGCCGTGGTGCGACGCTGCTGGCCCGGGCGGCGGGATGCTAAGCAAGGGGGTGGGCGGCGGCGGCGGCGGCACGAGGGCGCCCAAGCCGTCCTTCGTGTCCTACGTGCGTCCCGAGGTGAGGGGGCGTCCGGCGGGGGTGGAGCGGCCGCGCCGGGAACCCCTGCTCGGGCGGGCGTGGGGAGGCCCGTGGGCGCTTCCTGCCGGGCTGCGGCCGGGGAGCGGGAGAGAGGGGGCTCCCAGGGCCGAGTGTGTGCTGGGGGGTCTCCCAGCCGGCCGGGTAGGGGGGCCGCCGGGCGCGGACCATCAGGTGCCGGAACGGTGGGCCCGGCTCGCTGGCGGCCAGGTGGAGGGGGCCGAGCCGGGACATCACCGGAGAGGTGCGAGCCGGGGGAGTGGACAGCGTGGAGGGGTGTCGAGGGTGGGTGGGCAGTGGTCCGGCCCCCCGCGAGGGGCTGGCCCAGAACTGGTTTCCCAGAACCGGCCCCCGGTGTGGGTCTGCCCGGAACCGGCCCCAGCTCTGGTCTGACCGGGACCGCCCCCACTCCTTCCCCCAGAACCGGTCCCCCTGTGCGCGTGTGCCCGGGATCGGAACCCCGCGTGGGTCTGCCCGGAACCGGCCCCAGCTCCAGTCTGACCGGGACCGCCCCCGCTCCTACCCCCAGCGCTCAGTACCCCCAGAACCGGCGCCCGGGACCGACCCCCACTCCCGCGAGTGCTGGCCCTGCGGGTCTGCCCTGGACCGGCCGGCACCCAGGACCCCTAGAGTCGTCCCCCTGTTCGGGTGTGCCCGGGATCGGACCCTCGCGTGGGTCTGCCCGGAACCGGCCCCAGCTCCAGTCGGACCAGAATCTCCCCCACCTCTCCCCCCACCCCGCCTTCCAGGATCCCCAGAACTGGCCCCGTGTGCGGGTGTCCCCGGGGCCGGTCCCCGCGCGGGTCTGCCCTGCCCTGCCCTGCCCGTGCCGATTTTTCCATGAGTCTTAGCGCCACTTCTCGCAGTTTGGTGGCGCTGGCGGGCCCGGTGCGCCGCCGCCTCCCGCCGCGCATCAGCCCTGCACGAAGAAACTGGGGGTGACCCCCCCCCCCGCCTCCCCCACACCCGCCCACCCTGTCAGTTGTACATCCCCTCTCCCCCCACGAATTCCAGTTCGGCTGAGGAGCTTCCAGCCTTCTGTTTCACCCCGTCACCCATCCCACCACTCCTTGCTTCTCCTGGAATTTTCACCAGGAGTTCATTCATTCCTTCCGAGGTTTTTTTCTTTCTTTCTTTCTTTTTCTTTTTCTTTTACTTTTCCCTCATTCTCTCCCACTCTGTGCCAGGGCAGGGACTGTTCTGAAATGTTTAGGCGGTAGATCAAAAAACCAAACACTAAAGACCTAACCCCCCACCCCCAATCCTCTGCCCTGCAGTGTATTGGACGGAGAGAGGACTTATAAGAGCAGAATCCTAGATGAAATAGAAATAATTTCTGGGGGCACTTTGGAAGGTCCTCGGCACCTGGTGAGTGAGCCGGAAAGGCACCATCTGCGGGACAAGTGTCATTTGAGCAAAGTCTTGAGGCCGTTTGGAAAAGCAGTGCAGCTAGAGGGCCCAGGCTGAGTCACTTGCCTTGCAGTGTGTGAGGCCCCAGGTTCGATCCCTGCTATCACCAAAGAGGAAAAAAAAAAAAGTGCAGGTAGAGGGAAGAATTTGGATTCTTGGAGCCAGCCCTGCAGAAACCAAGTAGTTAAGGAAGGAAGGAATGGCCGGAGAGGTTAGGAACTTGGCAGCTTGTAGGTTGGGGCTTCCAGCGATTAACCAACTCCTTGTTCAAATGCATCTTTCGATGTGTTCTTGGTTTGAATTCTGGTTTGGATTTTATTGTATCTGCTGCTCTCACTCGCACATGAATCAGCCATGTGCAGAAGTTCTGCAAACTCCTTCCCATGCTCCCTTGCTACACAGACCAGCTGTTCCCGAGATCTTGATCAGGGACTTATTTTCTTCTGCAAGACCCCTGAAACCTTGACCTCCATTATGGATGCTTTCCTTGCTGGCAGTGGTCTTGAAATGGCTCTTCTTTTCACCTCTGGTGTGCGAAGGGAAACCACTTCCTCCTGGAACCCTGGTGGGGGCCAGGGTCTTGAGAATACTCAGCAGGCGTCTCCTGTAGCATCATGGGTAAGTCATGTGGTCAGTTTCTTTTTGCATCTGTTTTGTTTAAGCTGAGTTGAAGTACAACTGATCTTTAACCTTTCCTCTTGTGGGGGAGATTAAGCTACAGGTGGCAAGACTTTTGAAATGTGGCCAGAGTTCAAGAATGTTCAGATTTTTCATCCACCCTGTGCACATGTTGTAATTAGACATATTTTCCCTCTTTCCACAAGGCCTGTTAGATTTCCTTTGAGTGATACTTAAAGAAGGGGAGTGGTTCTGCCCCTAAATAAGCCTGAATTGGTCACATTTTTTCAGATCCTCATAGTTGGCAGTTTGGGTGGGTTGGGGCATTTTTTTTTGAAACAGTGCTGTGTGGACACTGGAGGTCTTTGCCGTCATCTGTCTTTCAAAATATTTGGTAGCAGAGGATAAGGCTCCGACTGAAATTGTGGATGGCTTTTACAAGATAAGGGCAGAAGGTGATGAGAAAGCAATTTTATTTTTAAAGGACGGTTGTTGCTAGATCAGCCCGTTATTGGAAAGCATCCGGGCAGCTTTTCCTGTCCCTTGTAGAGCTCCAGGCCAACTAACTTGCCGGTCACTTAGGAGGTTTGAAGACTCCCTCCTGCTGCCTTCGCCCTCTGGTACCTGGCTCCGGTCTGCTTTGCTTTCCTCTCAGCCAAGAGACCGCAGTGTCTCACATGCCTTTTAGGTTTTTCTTTTCTCTTTGTTTTTTGGTTTGGGGGCCACACACAGCGTTGCTCATTTCTCCTGACTCCGTGCTCAGGCACATCTGCTGGTGGGGCCCCTTGGGGACCAGGTGGACCCTGTACAGTGCCCGGAGAACCTGTGTCAGCCCCTGGCTATCTCTCGGCCCCATCTCAGATGCCTTTCTGCTGGCACATCTTGAGCTGCCAGAGCCACTGTCACACCTTATGATGTCATGGGGGCTGGGTGTGCTGACGAACTCCCTCGAGGGCAGTTCAGTGGCCACTCCCTTCAGTGGGCAGCCGCTCACAGGAATCAGCACTGGGTGTTCAAAACACAAGTACAGAACTGGATCAAGTATTTGAAGGTGATGCTTTTATTTTTTTATTTTTATTTTTAATTTTTGCTTTTTGGGTCACACCTGGCGATGCACAGGGGTTACTCCTGGCTCTGCACTCAGGAGTTACTCCTGGCGGTGCTTGGGGCACCATATGGGATGCTGGGAATTGAACCCGGGTTGGTCGTGTGCAAGGCAAACGCCCTACCCGCTGTGCTATCTCTCCAGCCCCCTGAAGGTGATGCTTTTAGACACGATGGATTATTATTATTATTTTCTTGAGATCCGAAAAGACTGACTCTGGGCAACCTAAAGAAAGTGGTAGTCAAGCAGCGTCGACTTTCTTTTTCCTGGGATTGGGGTGTGTGGATCCCACCCAGAAATGCTTGGTGGGGGGCTTCTCCTGGCTCTGTGCTCAGGGATCACTCCTGGTGGTGCTCAGCAGACCATCTGCCATGCCGGGGATCAAACACAGGTCACTCGCTTGCAAGGTAAGCGCCTTGCCTCCTGTGCTCTCTTTCTGGACCAAGAACTCCTACCAGCTTTTTTTTTTTTTTTTTTTTTTTTTGCTCTTTTTAGGTCACACCCAGCGATGCTCAGGGGTTACTCCTGGCTCTGCACTCAGGAATTACTCCTGGTGGTGCTCGGGGGACCATGTGGGATGTGGGGGATCAAACCCAGGTCGGCCATGTGCAAGGCAAACACTGTGCTATCACTCCAGCCCCAAACTCCAGCTTTCAGAACCAGCCTCTACCACTCTAATTCGGGTTCTTCTTTCATTGATTTTCCAGCTGCAGTGCGTGTGAACCCAGAGTCCCGTTCTCTTTAGAAACATACAGTTTAAAATGAGAGGGTGACAAAGAGAACTAGAAATTTTACGGTGGTGTGAGGTTTCTTAGGGTGTGTGAGTTTCGGGGGCCATTCCTTGAGATGCTCAGGGGTAATTCCTGGCAGTACATGGAGGGTTGTGTGGTACTGGGAATGGATTTGATCAGGGGTCAGCTGCGGCCCTCCTGTCCTATCTCTCCAGCCCGAAGCGGTGTGATTTTAAAATTATTTTCCACTTAGTCACCTTTTCTGGTCCCAACTGAGTTCACTTTTGATGTTTCAGATTGCCAGTTCTCAACTGCGGTGCTGATACAGTGGTATCATGCAAGATTCCCAGATTATCAGATCTCTCCTCAGTTTACTTAAAAAAAAAACTTTTTTTCGAGTTTGTTTTTGAGCCACATTTGGTGATGCTCCGGGTTTACTCCTGGCTCTGCACTCAGGAATTATTACTGGCAGTGCTCTGGGGATTTTATAGAATGCCAAGGGTGAAACACAGGTTGGCCATGTGCAAGGCAAGCTCCCTACCCACTGTACTACCTCTCCAGACCCCTGTTTCCTTGAAATTTCAAGCCCTCTTCCATACCCATTCCATATGGTGTCCTGAGCACCGCCAGGTGTGGCCCAAAGAACAAACGAAAATTAAAAAGCTAAAATGGCTACCACAATAATACAGCACGTCAGGTGCTCACCTGGCAGGCGGTTGGTCTGGGTTTGATCTCCAGCACCTACTGTGGTCCCTTGAACTCGCCAGGAGTGATCCCTGAGAGCAGAGCTGGGAGTAACCCCTGAGCATCGCTGGACGTGACCCAATAACAACAACAAAATAATCATAAAACTTAAGCTCTGGTGTGATTAGAAATGCTTAGTGTTGGGGCGAAGACACAGTAACGTGGGTGCTTGCACATGACTTACTCGGGTTCGCTGCCTGGTACCCCGTATGGTCCCCCACCCCACCAAAAGTGACTTCTGAATGCAGAGCCAGGAGCAAGCATTGCCTGGTGTGACCTCGAAGCCTAAACAAGACAAAACTTAAGAGCCTATACCCATAAGCATAAATAAAGGACCATGAAGGGGTCCTGCTAGGTTCAGATTTATTTACTTT